AAAATTAGTAATTGTTAAATAATTAATTATAATTTTAGAAACATTATATAGAAATTCTTACCTTAAAGGCCCAAACAAAGCCTGACAAAGTGTATTCGACCCATCGCCACGCAAACTTTTGCGGTCATCAAAGGCAGTAGACAACTTAGTCCAGGTAGCTTTCCATATATACGAACCCCACGGAAACAGATTCCATGCATTCAGGTCCTCTACCAATATTATTAGCTCCCGAGGAATAGGTTGTCTGGCCTCTCTGCCTAAAAAGCCGGCATACACAAGTAGTAGAAGGCATACTCGGACAACATCGACGTCATCCATCCGAGTGAAACCAGCTTTCTTATTAAACAATTTCTTCAGGTCGTCGACGTGTAGGTTCGGTTTCTCCATTGACTCATCCGGAAAAACCCGGGATAACCATGATGGGCGGGCGATATGACGAGTGTACCGGCCTACATCATCGTGTCCGAATCGTAGACCAGTGATTAAGCAGAACTCCTTCCGCCCAAAACAAGTATACGCTGGTGGAAAATGAAACCATATCTCTTCCTCACCACGTTATATACTGTCGGGTAGATTTGATGTCATGGTCTGAAGCCACAAATGGGTCAAATTAGCATCTCCACCCGGATGTTGTACTCTCAGCCATGGCTCGAAGCAGGTTTCCTCAAACAATTGTCTTTGAGCAGGTGAAAGCTTCGAAGCAATTGTAGTGGCTAGGCTAACTTTATTCCTTAATGTCAATGAAGCCGAAAAAATTTCTACAAAAACAATAAACATACCAAGTTAGATATACCAAAAACTACACTGTGAAGATATACCAAAAACAATAAACATAAAAAGTAGTAGTTTATTATTGAAACTAAAATTTGCAACACTGTTTTGTCTTTTGGTTGAAATGAAAATCGCAACGAGAGAATGACTGTCGCAACGAGAGAAATGAAAATCGCAACGAGAGAATCGCAACGCGAAATGAAAATCGCAACGAGAGAATCGCAACGCGAAATGAAAATCGCAATGCGATTTTGGTTTCGCGTTGCGATTCTCTCGTTGCGATTTTCATTTCGCGTTGCGATTCTCTCGTTGCGATTTTCATTTCTCTCGTTGCGACAGTCATTCTCTCGTTGCGATTTTCATTTATCTCGTTGCGACTCTTCTGCAAATTGAAACTTGAATGGATTGCATTACTTCAACCAAAACACAGAACAAAGACAAAGACAAATACTAACTTGAAAATCGCAACGAGAGAATAGCAACGCGAAATGAAAATCGCAACGACAGAATCGTAACGCGAAATGAAATCTAAGTGAAATGGTTAATCTATTATTGAAATGACCAGTAAACTTATCATCAGTTTCAATATGAAAAACCTACAATAATGCAAACATTTCAAAATAAAAATAATTAAAAAACTAACACTCGGAGGTTGATTTTCCATTTCTGAATATTGTGAGGGATTTCTGACCGTGAATGGTTGTGAGGGATTTCGCCGGAGATGGGGACGGAAATCTTCGGAGATGGGGACGGATTTCTTCGCCGTAGAGAGTGAGAGATGGAGATGAGACTGAGTTGTGATTTTAGGTTTTAGGTTATGAGTTGCGATTACGGGATTTTGTCTTAATATTCGTTTTTGTAATTTGAAAATAAAATACGCGTAGCGATTATAATGGCGCTTTATATATCGCGTTGCGATTTACGGATACGCGTTGCGATTTTATGTATTATCGTTGCGATTTACGGATACGCGTTGCGATATACGGATACGCATTGCGATTTACCCATACGCGTTGTGATTTACGGATACACGTTGTGATTTACGGATACGCGTTGCGATTTATGTGTTCGCGTTGCGATTTTCATATTCGCGTTGCGATTTTGGAAAATCGCAATGCGAATTTGTACTATCGCATTGCGATTTTCAAGAATCGCGTTGCGATTTTGGAAACTGATTTGCGATTCTGGGGATCGCGTTGCGATTTTTATTTCGCGTTGCGATTTTGTTGGTCATTTTGGCAAATCCAAAAAAAGTTGGTTAAAATCGTATATTATAAGGCATTTTTGGTCACTGAGGCGATTTTCTCTTTTTTTAATTTAATTTTTATTCATATTTTTTATTTTGTTTTTTTGGTCTTTTTGATGTCATGGCACTGTAAAATTGTATCGCATGATACAATTTCAGAATATCGTGTTAACTTAAAGGATTGAGTTGAAAAAATTAGTAAATTTAGGGGTGTAATGTTTATAATTTATAGTTAGGCTTTAAACTTTAACTTTTTACTTTTCCCCCTCATGACACAGTGTTGCTTAAAAAACGGAAACGTATTATTACAAAATAAAGGCATGAAAGGTACAATAAGACGATGATATCTCTTTTAAATTTAGTAACCTTTGACAAATGGAGAGTTTAAAAGGAGTAATGAATAACGCCAATTAAACAAAACAACGTTCTTGGGATCAAATTCTTATAATTGAAATTAATTTTTTTAACAAAATTTTGAGGACTTACACGATAATCAACAATAGATAAATAAGGTTAAATTATATATTCAATAACTAAATTACAAGCTTTAAAAGTTTGATAACTAAAATACAAGTTTTCTAAAAGTTAAGGGCCTATTTATGTAGTTTACCCTAAAGTATATTTATGAATCTTTGGTTTAATAATAGAGAAAATAACCTCAGTGACCAAAAATCTTAGATAATATACGATTTTGACCAACTTTTTTTGGATTTGCGAAAATGACCAACAAAATCGCAATGCGATCTCTAATTCGCATTGCGATCTCTACTATCGTAAATTCGCGTTGCATTTCGCGTTGCGATTTTTCATTTTGCGTTGCGATTTTCCAGTTCGCGTTGCGATAGTTAAAAATCGCGTTGCGATTTTTCATTTCTCGTTGCGATTTTTCATTTCTTGTGATAGTTAAAAAAATATTTTGTTTCTCTAAAAAGATAGTATCCGCGCGGACGTGTCGAAGACACGTACGACCACGACCACGACCACGACCACGACCCGAGACGAGACGAGACGAGACGAGACGAGACGGACGGCGGCGGCGGCGGCACGCGAGAGTCTCCATTGTTCTTTATCACTCAACAAGGAAGTGAGAAAGCCAAGCCTTAAATACTATTCCCAATAGTGTTTCCAATACTATGTGAGATTTGAGCATTACCAACACTTGTTCCCAATACTATGTGGGATTGAGCCTTAAATAGTGATATTATTTTTGAATGTTTTGCTTAAAATTGCAATAATCACGATTGATTGTAGATTGACTTTTAATTATGACATATTTAATTGTATAATACTAATGCAATTGGTTGCTAATTCAGTTATTTTAAGGTGCATGATTGTTAATTGTTTCCTGAATAATCACATTGTATTGGAAACAAGTGTTGGTAATGCTCAATCCCACATTGTATTGGAAACACTATTGGGAATGGTATTTAAGGCTTGGCTTTCCCACTTCCTTGTTGAGTGATAGAGAACAAGGGGACTCTCGCGCGCCGCCGCCGCCGCCGACCGTCTCGGGTCGGGTCGTGGTCGTGGTCGTGGTCGTGGTAATACGCGCGGATACTATCTTTTTAGAGAAAATTCTTAAGAAACAAAATCTTTATTTTTTTAACTATCGCAACGAATCTAGAAAATCGCAACGACAACTGTAGACTATCGCAACAACAACAGTAGACTATCGCAACGCAAAATGGAAAATCGTGTTGTGATTTTCAACTATCGCAACGCGAATTTACGATAGTGGAGATCGCAATATGAATTAGAGATCGCATTGCGATTTTGTTGGTCGTTTTCGCAAATCAAAAAAAAGTTAGTCAAAATCATATATTATCTAGGATTTTTGATCACTGAGGTTATTTTCTCTTAATAATAAAACCTTGCCGTCCGATTCACTGTAGGATGGAAAGCGACATGTCCCGTTCTGATCAAAAGGCATACAGGTCAATCAAAGTCAAGTGGGAACCACCTAATTAGATTTGCCGTCAAGGTGGCTCCGACTGCAATGACTATAACCATTTCACACTTTCAAAGTCGTTGGCAAAGAGCGACGTGTGAACTAACAAAAATGCATCAAAAACCAAAACAACACAATCAACATTTAGATGATAAAACCGATTATATGAATTTAAAGGTTAAGAGGAGTATCATTTTCTTAAAATTTTGATTCAATCAATTACATCTTAAAGATATGTTCATTATCAATTGTTAATAAATATTTTAAATAGATATTATATTTTTCGTATTATTTTAATATATATATATATATATATAAAATGATGATTAACAAGTTGGAGGTAAAAAAGTATATATAAAATGATGATTAACAAGTTGGAGGTAAAAAAGAGTGGAAGATTTTCCAATTTTTAGGTAGGGGTGTGCAAATCTGGGTACCCAGTAATATCTAGATCAGTAATTTCTCTGTCCGTGTTTCAATCCGGATGTTACGGGTACCCGGTAATCGAGTACTCTGATTTTGAGGGTACCCAGTAATCGGGTATCCGATACCTGTTTTTTTTCTTTCAAATTATTAATTTTAAAAAAATATACACAAATTTAAATGTTCGAAACTTCGAATCACATACTCCAACATCCGAACATAAAATTTAAAAGTTCAAAATACAAAATCTAATAATTCATAATATAAATAATCCATTATATTATATTATATATATATATAATAAAATATAAAATAAAAACTAATCGAGTACTCGGAAAAACACAATTTTGTGACCTAGGCCCGACCCGGGAAATGTCGGGCCGGGTACTGATCGGGTATTTTTTTTAAAAAAAATTACTCGATTTTTTAATGTTCGGATCGGCGAGTCGAATCAACCAGGTCGGGTATTTTTTGCACACCACTACTTTTAGGGGGAAATAGGAAATAAAGATTAACAAGAAGTTCGGTCAGACATTTAAATGATGCAGTTTCATCGATTTATGATCTTTTTATCTTCAGAAAATGGCTTCTGAAGTGGCAAAACTGAGGGGAAAACTTGAACAATATTGTCTTTCATATTCTTTAGGATTCATCCTGCATAACGGTTTCTGAAATCCACAATCCTCAACTATACATAACTCCATCCTATGATTTCTGGAATATCCACAATCGTTCAACTATACAAGACTCTTTCCTCATCGACGCCAGAAACGACCTTGCTGCCTCTGTCCTTGCATTCTCCTGTGCCATCATCGTTGCCCCCAAATCAGAACATTGTTCAACAATATTTTAACAGGATGTGACTAACAATTATCGATGTTATAATGCAGAAAGAGAAATATACTTCACCTTTGATACTCTTTAGAACGCTCAAGGAACTCCTTTGCAATATCTTTTCTTTCATAAGATTGCAGTACTTGTCTGATATCAGCTGGACTATTGCGGGCCACATCTGTGGACAGCCGAAAACAGATGGTACTACAATCAACAAAAGAACATGGAAAACATCTAAACAAACAAAACTAAACGGACTCACATTCAAGAAATGGAATAAGATCCAAAAGTGCTGTATCATCTGTCTCAAGCTTATACGGCTTAATAGGGACACAATTTTCTGGTTGAAGGCTAGATTCAAATGCATGAGCACTCACATACAGAATCTTGGCTGGATCCCTGTTAAGCTTTGAAAGATCCTGAAAATAGGGACTATTTGTTACTCATTTTGAAGTATCAGATCTTACCGACTGTCCCATAGATTAACAAATATCATCGCACTTTATCTAGCAGAAAACTGCACAAGGGAAAACCAAGCTCCAAAGGAAAGTGATGAACTTCTTACTCTGTAATGTTTTCCATCCTGATATTTAGTAGCACCCCTTGATAGTTTATATCGTATATAATGGTTAGGATCCAACCTTTCACAAACAGGATCGACATACTGCACAAACCAGAACAATCAAATAAGTAAATTCAGGCATCATCAGTTGTCAATTACTTGAGCATTCGACATTGTTGTCACGATGAAAAATATTCAAATTACCATATTCATCTGGTCAGAATAGACAACAATTTCGTAGAACTTTGCCATATGTTCCAAAAAGGCATCAACTCCAGGTCTTTTGAAGGTACGCCAGCCTCTCTCTCGCTTTGCCAACCAAAAAGGGGAAAAAGAAAGAAAAAGAATTACAAATATTTTAACATGAGCTTCGAAATTCAGAATATCAAAATAAAAAGTTCAGATTTTATAAAGGAGAATGAAAAAAAATCATGTCAAATTCATACCTTCCAATCTGTATAAAGTAATGTTTCATTCAGATCTAGGACAAGTGTGAAAACATGTTCTTGGGGATGCAAATCAGGAAGAAGCTTCTCTGAGGTTGGTTCAGTAAATTCCTTCAATATAAGATAAAGTAAGAAATAAAGAAAAGGTTAATGCTAATATACAGAAGAAAAACCATAAGATAGGCGGGCAATACTATAAAATCAGAAGCTACAGAAACAAGAATTGCACTCACTGTCACATGTTCTTCCACTTTCTTCCTGAGATCCAGGTAAGATTCAAGTGCTTTAGCTGGAACTGGAATGTTACAAAAAAAGAAACCATGAGAAATGCAGTGGAAGCAGAACATGTAAACAAGTCAATCACAACTAAGTTAATAGAGAGCAATGAGCACCAAGTACTGAATTGTTTTCCTGACTTAGAAAATCCTTTTGTAATGATGTAGCCCAATTTTTCTAAAGGAAAATTAGAGACACTAAACTTAAAAGGCTTACCCAAACACAAACTCAGCTCCCATGAATAAACAAATAAGAAATAAGAGACATAGAAACAAAGTATGTTCATCACCTTTCATTGCAGTAGAGTAGAGCATGCCTCGATATTTCTGAAAAAGAAATGGAAAACAAAAATCACCACTTACATATCTGACTCTTTCATTGAACATATAAAGAACGGCTCCATGATATTATTAATTCCCATCAAAGCATTACACATGTGCATTCAAGTGCATAGAGACATTAACACACATACTCGGATAACTGATATTGATGCATTCATCATTGCATTATAATAATTAATCATACAGGAATCTTTTAGGAGGCCCAATGATGGACATGTTTAATGTGACTTTGAACTGATGAGAGCAGCTAAATTATTTTGCTATAAACTGTAAAAGACATTATAAGAAAATTTACCAACTGCTTGAACAGCAAGGCAGCCAGCTAGTACTGCCATTTAACCAACCACACCAGAACACATTAATCTCATATGAATGAGAATAAAATTATGCCTAAACCAGTTATATGTCTAAAACAAAAACAGTTAAATGTCTAGAACAAATTGTACATGACTCAATCAAACGTCTAAATTGAAGAGAGAAAATTCTTCTTAAAAATATTGGAAACGAGTTCAAACTCACTTCAACAGAAGATGCATCTTCACTAGGAGTATAACTCGCTGCAGCCCGCAATGCCTTTGCCTTCTGATCTACTTCCTCATAGGAACACTCTGCAAATCAAATTTATTTTTTAAAAAAGAAAATAACCATCTTTAAACATATAAAACCCCACATTTTAAACAACATTATCAAGAAAAAAAATCACAAATGATCTAAAATTTTTTATATGAGAAAAGAAAGAAGACTCACTATAAGAGAGATAACCGGCATAGCCAATAGTTCCAGTTACAGCGGAGATAAGACCATACTTGAGAAAGCTCCATGATTTCCTCCGAGAAACCTGTGGGGAAGCTTCCGGCGCTGGCGGAGGAGGAGTAGGAGTAGGAGGTGTCGGCTGATCGGAGAGAATGGATTGTGAAGGAATGACAGCTTCTTTAGCAGGATTTGAAGAAGAGGATGAAGAAGAGGAAGTCACCCCTGAACTTAAAACCCTTCGAGAAATGATCTTTGAACTGGAATCAATTGAAACTACTCGAGATCTAAGAGCAATTGAAGACATTTTTGTAAAGGTTTTGATCTCTTATGGAGTTTGTTTTAGTAATTATCTTCTTTTTTTTAATGGTTCGCAAGGTTTTAGTAATTAGCTAGGGTTTTACAGATTGGAACTGTGAAACAGAAGCCAATATTTTAATAGGGATGTTTGGAAGTCGGTGTTGGCCAATTCTTATGTAGAGTCTCTTTTAACTAAAAAGGTTTTTTTTTTCTAAAATGAGGATGGGAATAGTGGCACTGAGGTGAAGTTTGGTTAGCAGGTTTTTAACGTGTGGTTCAAGTTTTCAAATAGAATTGAAATCCCTCGTGACTTAATTTTTCATCAAATGAGAAAAAGTAAATTTCATCAATTCTACGATGGAATTCAATTTCTTTCTTAGAGAGAATTAAAATTTGATCATATTATCCTCATCAATCTTTTAATAATTTATTTATATATTGAATAAAAATATTTTTTTATTATTTCAGGTCAGGTCGGGTTTCTAATTCATATATTCGGGTGGGGTCGGGTGAAACTTTATTTTGGTCGGGTCGGGTCGAGTTCGGGTTTAGGGTAAAAAATACTCGACCCGACCCCACCTGAAAATATATATAATTTTACCTTATATATTTAGAAATAATTACAATAATACCCCTCTATATATAATTTTTTTTCAATTAAGTCATTATTTTTATTGAATAAAAATAATTTTTTTATTATTTCTGGTCGGGTTGGGTCGGGTTTCTAATTGATATATTCGGGTCGGGTCGGGTGAAACTTTATTTTGGTCGGGTTGGGTCGGTTTTTTTTAAGTGTGATATTCGGGTCGGGTCGGGTTAGGATTTAGGGTGAAAAATACCCGACCCGATCCAAAAATATATATATTTTTACCTTATATATTTAGGAATAATTACAATAATACCCCTCTATATATAATTTTTTTCAATTACGTCCGTTTTTATTGAATAAAAATAATTTTTTTTATTATTTCAGGTCGGGTCGGGTAAAACTTTATTTTGGTCGGGTCGGGTCTCGGATGGATGTTCCCTTGTTCTTGGTCGGGTCGGGTGGACCAAAAACTCGACCCGACCCGACCCATGGCCACCCCTAATTGGGATGATTTTAACTTACGATGTTTATTAGCATAATTTTTATAATTTATTGAAATGAATAATCAATCAATAAAATTAAAATTTAATATTTTATAAAATTTTATAATATATTGCTACATGTAATTTATAAAACAAACTAAAATTAAGCAAAAAAAATAAGAAGGGCAATCCTGTCATTTTACATTATTGCAATCAAATTCATCTGACATGTCTGCGAACCAAACAGAATATGGAATTGGATTCTAATTCAATTTCCTGCCAACCAAATAGAATATAAAATTAGATTTTAATTCCTGACAGCTTCTAATTCTTTCACAAATTTCAATTCCCTCAAAAACATTCCAGCGAAAGTAAATTTAAAATATTATTTTATTATTTATATTCTAAATTATTTTCTTAAGTCTTAACCATAATGTCTTTAAATTTTAACTTATTTTATTATCGGTAGGAATGATTTGAGTGGAATGACTTAAATCTTAATTATAATGTCTTTAAATTTTAGATTTTTTATCATCCGTAAGAATGATTTGAGTAGAACGACTAAAAATTATCATCTTTAAAAAAATCAAACTTTTATATATTTTTATTTTATCTGTAATTTTTATTGATAATATATTTTCATCTTTTTAAAATTTTATAAATTTATTATATCTTAAAATATTTTGTAAATTTATCCTAAAATAAATCATACGTTCAATTATTAATTTTCATACCTTTCATTATCACAAATCAAAATTTTAATAAATATTTTAAAAATTAATTTTTGATGAATTAATTCTACGATTCTTACAACAGAAGATGAATGAGGGTGTCGTAAAGTAGATTTTGCAGCTCTAATAACGAAATGATAAGACTTATGAATTGCACTGACAGAGGTCAACAGTGTATATAGAGTATAAAATTTTAATTTTTTAAATAAATAAATTATGGTTTTTTAAATAGTAGAGATCTTAAGAATTTTCTTTCGAGAAAATAAAATTCATATTATATGTTATGTTGTATTCATTAAACAACAGATTTTTTAGCTGACATCAATGATTCCACTTGAAAATATTAATTTTAAAAAATATTACCAAGCAATTTTAATATTTATAAAAAAATAATTAAAAATGAAAACTAATACTATTATGTTAAAAAGAATATTTAATGAGATATATTAATTGATCGAGTGGATAAAGATATTCATATTATGAATTCAGCTTTTAAGGGCATTATTTAATGGGAATAAGAAGAGGGAAAGGGCTGAATTGCTCGTTCGGGGCGTTGGAAAAAATAATTGGCTCGTATAAGGTTTTATCGAAATTATTTTTTAGTGTGATCGTTACAATAATGCGTATTTCTCATTTTTCACGTTGTTGGAATGCCAAAATTACAAGACTACAAAGGAATAAAGCATGAGTCACATTATAATTGTCGTGTCTTTCGAAAGATGTATTGTGTTCCCAATGTGTTCCGATGAGCACTATAATACTCACTCTAGATCAAAAAATAATTATGACAGAGCTTATACGAGCCGATCATTTTTCTCATTGCCCCACACGAGCAATTTGGTTCCTCTCTGCACATCAACTCTGGTTCAGAATTTGCTGGAAGTGGCACTTGTTGGTGAAGGTAGCATCTCTGGAACATGGCTTCAGTTCTCCTCTTACCTGGCACTCAAGAAATACTTTATTTTTATTTATCATAATATCATTATCAATGTCTAAAACTAAACTAATGCTTTTTTTTTAATTTATGTTCATAAAGTGGTATTACATTATTACCATACCTCCACATTTTGTATTATATAATATAATATCCCCCTTCAATCTATATCAACGGTGGTATATATGCCAAGTTTCAGCTATAAAATAGATGCTGACAAAAACGATAACACAATCAACAGTCAACTGATATCTACTTTGGATCTTCTAACAAATTCCAAAACTCCTGCTATCCTATTTCTTCTCCAAAAAAAACCCAGTTTTCCAAGGTAAGTCTCCAGAAATCTCTCATTTTCCTGCTAGATCTTTGTTTGTATTAGTTTCAGCTTTGGGATCTGAGCTTTATCATAAGCTTTCATGGCAGAACCAGTTTTGTATGAAAAAAATATGAGCTTTAAGTTACTTATTTTGTAATAAATATTTGTTCTTGGGATGCTTCAGTGATCAGTGGAAAAGGGATTATAAAGATTGTCAGATTTGGATAAAAAAGGATCAAATTGGGATGAATTTTTAGTAATTCAAAGAAACTTTAAATTTTGGTGGTTGAGTAGATTTACTTTGCCTTTGAAACAAAAACTAGAAAGAGATCACGTGATAATCAGCAGATCAAAGAGTCCTTTGCACCATGGGTTTAGTTGACACTGGCACTTGTTAATGTCAGAAGAATGTTATCTGTACCATTTTGGTTACTTTTAAGTCTAATTTTCTGACAATTGCAGGGTTCCTGGTAGTGATTTATGTTTGCTGAATCTTCCTAATGGCCTGTAATGATGCAAACCAGCCTTTGCTATCAGCAGTAGCAAGTCCGAAAACTCGAAAGAGTAACGGGGATGGACCAAAGAGGAGAAGGCGGATTCGACATGTTCGAAGTGCTCCTTTTGCAGATTTTGGTTCTATTGATACTAATGGAGAAGAAGCCCTTCCGATTTCCAAGTCCATTTTCGGGAGACTCAACCTAAATCTTAAGAAGGTATCCCTAGTTTTGACATTATACTTGGGTGTAGGCACCCTTTGCTTTTATACAATCAGGAACCAAATCAGAGGAGACAAAACTAATGGAATTCTTGATGCTGTTTATTTCTGTGTCGTTACGATGACCACCGTCGGATATGGAGACCTTGTTCCTAACAGCGACCTCGCGAAACTGCTAGCCTGTGCTTTTGTCTTCACAGGAATGGCACTAATCGGACTTGTGCTAAGCAAAGCTGCTGACTATTTGGCGGAGAAGCAAGAGATATTGCTGGTTAAAGCCTTAAACATGTATAAAAAAGCTGGTGATTTTGAGGTTCTAAAGGAGATTGAGACTAAACGGGTGAAATACAAGTTTTGTACAACATTGATCCTTCTGGTTGTGCTAATATTAACTGGGACCGTCTTCCTACATAAAGTCGAGAACTTAGACCTTATCGATGCGTTTTACTGTGTTTGTTCTACAATTACAACCTTGGGATATGGAGATAAAAGCTTCTCAACCGAAGGGGGGCGTATTTTTGCTGTGATTTGGATATTAGCTAGCACTATATGTTTGGCTCAGTTCTTTCTCTACGTCGCTGAGGTAAATACAGAAAACAGACAGAAAGCAGTAGTGAAATGGGTTCTTACTCGAAAAACGACAAATGTAGATTTGGAGGCTGCTGATATTGATGGTGATGGAGTCGTTGGGTAATGATTTTGCAGATTATTAACTTAGATGCTTTCTTTTTATCAGCTCGATCTGTTAGCCGCGTAATTGACATCTTCATGTTTTCTTTGCTTCATTTTTGCAGAGCTGCTGAGTTTGTTCTGTTCAAACTTAAAGAAATGGGGAAGATTTGCCAAAGTGATATTTCACTTATCTTGGAGGAATTTGAGGATTTAGATGTTGACCAGTCCGGAACCTTGTCGCTATCTGATATAACCGAAGCTCAATCCGGTGAAACTAGGACCCCATATTAACATTATATGTAATGAAAGATCTTACAGCTTTTCTTCAAACTTGTAATATGAACTTTTAATCGCTTATAGATTACTGTTTCGAGTTATCGAGCACTCTGACTTCATCAAATTGAATTGGACTTCACACAGATGAATGTATTTCACAATGGCGATTCTTAGCAATAGAGTTTAAAATATGAACTGCTTGCCATTTTACCAGTTATCTGGTTTTTGTGCAAATGGAAAGGTTGTTATGCAAGCAAAAGAGCAATATACACACTTTTTCAAACTTGAACGGCAAGCTATTTTGTGCTCTCGGATGTATATGACTTCATGTTTCGATTTTCAGATTTGACTTCATGAACGTATTGGAATTTCTCATTTTGGACTTGTGTTCTTAACATAGCATGAAATAATGAAATTTCTCATTTTGGATGTGCATACGAAATTTCCGATAATCCTAAGCACATACCAAAAACAGAAAACGACATCAGCATGGATCTTCTAGGAGCTTTCCAATGCATTTGGAACCAAAGTTCCCTCTAATTCTAAGCGTTTTATAATTAGATTGCAGACTTGCTTTCTGTTGTAGGTCGCTTCCGTCTCCGTTGTATTTTCCAAGGTTTTCTTTTCGAGCTTGTTAGTGAAGAACCTAAGCTTAATACCAGGTTAGTTTCGATGGACGTATTTTAGTTTTTTTTAACTCTGAAATTCTATGTTGTAATGCTTCTTGCAGGTAATCTTAATGCTGGATTGCTTCTACTCGATCGAATCAATGACTTCGAACAATGCAAAGCAAGCCAAGTTAACAAATGATGAACATGCTCCCGAGAAAAGAAGCTTTCGGGGCAGCAAAACTACTTCGGTCGCTGCAAAATGTGCCCCTCCGTATACTCTTGGGTCTGCGATCCCTGATCTTAAATGGCTTCGCATGTACTTCGGTGTCTACTTGACTATTGGAACTATAAGCTTTTACGCGCTGAAGGACGATATCGGAGGGAAAAAGACGAACGATTTCGTTGATTCACTTTACTATTGTGTCACCACAATGACCACCGTTGGTAATGGAGACCTTTTCCCTTATAGTTTCGATGTGCGAGTCGTGTCCAGCATTTTCGTAACCGTAGGGATGTTTCTGTTCGGAATAGCAGTGAAGATAGCTGCAAAGTACTTGGTCGTGAAGCAACAAATGGTCATGGTTAACGCCCTGCGCACGGCTCGAAAAATCAGTCCGGTGGAAGCCCTTAAAGATATTGACAGCCTCAAAATAAACTACAATAAGGTCAAGATATCATTGATGGCTATGGGAGGGCGTTTCGTCCTCGGGATCTTGGTTTTGCTCACCGTCGAAGGAATGGACTTCTTCGACTGCATCTACTGTGCAGTTGCTACCATGACAACCACAGGCTTTGGAGATGAGACCTTCCAAAGTACATTCGGCCGCATGTTTGCTGTATTCTGGATATCGACCGGAACTTCCTGCGTAGGCTAGCTATTTCTCTACATGGCAGAGGTGTACACCGATGTCGAAACAAGGAAATTGGCGAAGCGGGTCATTGCTAGCAACTTTGCAGCCAGGAAAGACCTGGAGGCAACCAACTGTATCGAGGATCACAAGGCTTTCGGGTAAGATTTACTTTAATTTGCCGAATGAATTCACATGAAACCACTTCGATAACACGATGTTTCGGTCGCCATGAAGGATCTCGATGATGTGATCAAGGATGTTAATGTTGATGATGTGACTACTCCATCAAAACCAACTCAAGTGAAGTGATCAAAGTGAAATCAACCTTCTTTTATGTTGTAAAAACTGCATGTCCCCACTCGACCTAATAATATATACAACATTCCATATTTGGCACAAGGATCAGAAACATAAAAAAGAACAGGTTATTGAAATGTATGATCTAAAGTGGTTGGTTTCAATGTCAAAGTAAAATGTTCGAATTATATATTTAGTTTATGATGATAGTTGTAAATTTTTATTATAATTTTGACTATTTTTACTTTTTAATAAGACTAACAGTTTCTATTAATAAATTATAAATTTAGATTTTTCTAAGTTTTACTTAAATTTAGAATTGAGAGATGAACCGACACATAAGAAAGGTGAGTGATTTTGGTGAAATTGACCCATTCCATGCATTATAAGCCAAGAAACAAAATTTGTGTGATTATCATGCGCTCTTCTAATTTTGAACAAGTAAACTAACTAATAAAGGACCTTCCATTTCAGGACACCACAAATCATATAAATTACAAACTTGGCTCACACTGTCATACACAATAAACTTCAATAATATTAAAATACCTAATAATGTCCAAAGTTGGAAGAGTCAGCTTTGTGACCCTAATAATGGTACTCATAATGGCTCAACCAGGGTCAGGGTATTACCCTTGGGAAAGGGTATATCACATTCACATACTCAACCGGATGTCAAACAAAGCTCCACCGCTGACGGTGCACGTGACGTCGAAGAACCACGATCTTAAAGAGCACACCATTGGGAAAGGTGGCGATTTCCAGTTCCATTTCCGCCCCAACTTTTGGTATAACACGGTTTTTAATTGCGTTTTCAAGAGCGGTGGTAAAACCAAGGCATTTGATATTTACAAGCCCGGTGACTATAGCTATGGGAGTAAAATTTGCCGTCTTCTTAAACAGAGGCCGGTGAATTGGAAGGTGCAAGATGATGGGTTTTACCGCAGCTGTGACGGTGAAAATTATCAGAAGATGTATGATTGGGGGTGTCCGTGAATGACGATGATGATCAACGTAATGCGCTCTTCGCTTTTTGACTGCATTTTGTTTCAACCCTGTTAAAATTTGGCTTTTTTTTACCCAAAATTTATTGATCTAGCATTTTTTCTAACAAGATACAGATGATGATTTGCACCTGTCGGTGATGTAGCGCCAGCTCAAATAAGGCGCGAATGATGGTACGAGTCTTTTTGAGATCAGTGTTAGATCTGTAAAATTTTATGCAACGATGCATAATAGGTAATTAATTTTTATTAGGGTAATTTTTGTGTAAAAACACAAAGGAATTAGTGTTTTTTTGTTGGAAAAAAGATAAAATTTAATTAGCCAATTATTTTCATTTCTTGTCTTTTGAAAAATTAAGTCCTATGACCATAAAGAAAATCGGGTACCTTTCACACTTATCATTTTCTTTAAATAATTATTTTTTCCTTTTTTTAATAAATTTTTTCATTAAATCCTGAAAATAAGATAATAAAATTCTTTTTTTTATCTAATAATAATAATAATGATGATGAAAAATAGTATTAATAAACTTTGTCTCGTCTATTGATTTTATCATTATTTAACCAACATTTTTGTGTTAAATACGTTTTAAATTTAATTGAGCTTCAAAGTTATTCTTAGATACGTTGAGATAATATATATATATATATATCGAGTATAAAATTCTTATAAATCTATATTTTAATATGTTTATGATACGCTGATTGAATGTATAATTAGTGAATTTTTATAAACCAATATTGGTTTAAGGGGATACACTGTTTAAATGGATGACGCACATTTAAAGGTTTTCTAACATGAACTCGTTAAATTTTTATTAATGTGTGATTTCAGTAAAATAATACAAATTAATGACTCAATTATCAAAATAAAATGAATTAAAAATATAATAATAAAAAATATTTTTTAAAAAAATAAATGATGAAAATAAAACATATTAAAATGTTTGGTATAATTATAACTCATGTTTTTTCAATTACTATATTAAAAATCAATTATAAATTATGATAAAATATTTTTCGTGATTATCATAATAATCGACCAATTAATGGAGTATATATATGAGTTATAATTTAAATTAATCATTTATTCTACTATTATTCAAATTAATTAAGAAAAAATTATGGTAAAATATTTCTAAAAGAAAAATATAAATACATACATAAAAATCTAAAGAAATTTTTTTTGTTGCTCTCTTAACTTATAACAAAATTTAATAAAAAAAAGAAGGTGGAGCTAAAAAAATATCATCTATATATTTCAAATATTATTTTTAATATAAATTTTAAAAATATTAAATAAATATTAAATTCTAATTTTATTAAAAATAAATATACATTATTAACTGTTGTTAAAAAATAATAAATAGTAAATAGTAATTTATTGTGTAATTTCGTGCAAAAACTAAAATTTATTAAATTAGAAAATAATTTGTAAAAGCATATTTAAAGATTTTAATACAGAAAATTTTTTGCATAGTTGATATTTTCATACAAAAATCAGTCTAACAGAAATTAATTACATGTCATGTACCGTTTTAAAAAATTTACGAATCTACTACCTATCCCAGAAAGACGCAAATCATTATTTGTGTCTTACCCAAACTGACGTCATGTCAATGAAAAACACGTATGATGATTTGTATCTTATCTGAAAGTGTGTTACTGTTAGATCGATAATTTTTTTTGAAATTGTACCTTAAAATTTATTTAAAAATATATGTAAAAATCATGTAAATTTATAATACCAAAAGAAATATATGAAAAAAATTTCTCTTTTTTGGGTACTGTACTGTCGATTGGAGTTGATGATTTACTTGCTGCTGTTTGCAATCATTCATATGACAAGTCACCCTATTAACATAATGAGCTGATTTTATTTCAACAGCAAATGCACTAAATCGTCAGATTTGAGTGGGAAACTATCGAGGGAATTCAACCTAATCCATAGGGTTAATCATTTGATGTTATTTAAATATATTGAATCAATTTTTTAGTTTTAAAGAATTAAAAATTATAAAATATATATTATTTTTTCAAAATTATTATAAAATTGTTATTGAATTTATCAAACTATTATAAAATAATATTTTAAATGATCATAGTATATCACTATTTTATAAAGTACAACCATTTTATAATAGTTCGATAAATTTAAAGATCATTTTATAATTTTTTTAAACTCTAATTATAAAAAATAGAAAAAAAAATAATTTCAGTGACCAAAAATACCTTATAATATACGATTTTAATCAACTTTTTTTGGATTTGCCAAAATGACCAACTAAATCGTAATGCGATCGATAATTCGCAATGCGATCTTCGGTATCGCAAATCAGTTTCCAGATTCGCAACGCGAACTTCGACTATCGTATTGCGATTTACATATTCGCATTGCGATAGTCCAAGTTCGCGTTGCGATTTTCCAAATTCGTTGCGATAATCCAAAATCATGCACCTTAAAACAACTTAATCAACAACCAATTGCATTAGTATTATACGATTAAATATATCATAATTAAAAGTCAATCTACAATCAATCGCGATTATTGCAATTTTAAGCAAAACATTCAAAAAAAATTGCATCACTCGCGAGAATAAAAAAAATTGTTATCGTGCAATTACAATCAATTGAAAATAAATTAGAATTGCATGAAAACTAAACGAACCACAAATACTTTTCATACAAATACTAAAGTCATTAACTATAATTCACAAATAATATCACTATTTAAGGCTCAATCTCACATAGTATTGGGAACAAGTGTTGGTAATGCTCAATCCCACATAGTATTGGAAATAATATTAGGAATGGTATTTAAGACTTAGCTTTCCCACTTCCTTGTTGAGTGATAGAGAACAAGGAGGACTCTCGCGCGCCGCCGCCTCTCGTCTCGTCTCGTGGTCATGGTCGTGGTCGTGGTAATACGTGTCTTCGACACGTCCGCGTGAATACTATCTTTTTAAAAAAAAATTCTTATGAAACAAATGCAATACCACCAGTCGTTGCGATTTTGGACTATCGCAACGAATTTTGAATAAATCGCAATGCGATCTTCGACTATCGCAACGAACTTGGACTATCGCAACGAATTTGGAATAAATCGCAACGCGAACTTGGACTACCGCAACGAATTTAGAAAATCGCATTGCGATAGTCGATGTTCGCATTGCGAATCTGGAAACTGATTTGCGATACCAGAGATCGCGTTGCGAATTATCGATCGCATTGCGATTTAGTTGGTCATTTTGACAAATTCAAAAAAAATTGATTAAAATCGTATATTATAAATCATTTTTTACCCCTGAAGTTATTTCCTCTAAAAAAATATTATTTCAACGTAGACTGTATTTTAACCTCATTTTTCTCACAAGTAAATCACTTTCAGATAAGAACAAAGCACTTGACTTTATGGAACATATAAAAACTAGAGATATAATGGGTTGGGTTGGATCAAATTTTTGATCAATTTAATTAGATTTAAAAAATATATATATATTCTACTTGAATTCAACTTGATCCGAAAATAGATATCATCTATTTGATTTTAACCTTACCTTAATTTTTAGACTATAAGCCTGATCCGATCGGATATAAAATAAGAACTTAACTAAAAAATATTAATAGAGAGAGGGGATACTATATCAACTATCCATAAAATTATTTGAATAAATCACAATATTATCCTCGAGTCGAGTGGGGTCGGAATTTTTTCACTCTCCACCTAAATCCGAATTTGATCCGTTCTAAACTTTATTTAAAAAAAAATCAAATCCTATTAAATCGGGTAGATCCGAAATCCCTCAGTTTCAGGTTAAACGTATGAATGAACTGTTTCCTTTATGATTTTTCAAGCTATTCCTTCGATGTCATTTGACCCTTGAAACCTCGTTTTTTCTGAAAATAAAAAGTAGCCAAATCTTAAGCTACTCCTTTGATGTCATAATCTTTGTTACATGTATCTGAACATGGTGAAAACAAGAAGTGAGAATCAAATATGTTGTCCCTTTCATCTCTTCAAACGCTATGTACTTTGTGTCTCAATCCTTGCTCCTTCAATTGTTTTGTTTGGTTTCCTTGGACTGGGGTTCTATGCCATCCTTTTCACAAGTCTTGATTTTATCAACAAGTTTCATAGTCAAATTCTCCTGGAAAACAAAGGTGGTACTTGAAGATGAAGTAGTACAGCCAGTGCTGAGGAATAATACGGTTGCAAATGCTTCCCGAGGAGCTGATGATGGTGAAAGCAGTGAGGGTTCATGGTCGAGTGAAGATGGTGAGCTGAACTGGATGGTTTCAGGTATTGAGGAGCAAAACCCTGAAATCTCAGATGAATATTCAACCTCACAAGATGAAGAAGAAGAAGAAGGCCTCACTGAAATTGCTATTACATTTCCGAGCAATGACACCACTGGTTTGAATGAAGAACCAAAACAAAATGTAATTAAAACACTTTATATAATCATATATTTTATACTCGTTATTTACATATTTTATTAATTTAATTATAGTTTTAATATAATTTAATAAATTTAATTATTCAATTAAATAATATTTATCAATGTATAAATTATTTGACTGAAAAAAAAATTAAAAGAATTTAGCGGATTAAACTCGATAAATATAGACAGAGACAAACATATGATTTTATGTTAGGAGGGTTTACTTTTAAAATTTTAAGAGAAGACGAACTTATAAATTTTTTTTAAAAAATAAAAATAAATTATCGATTAAAATATCTAAAATATATATTAATTTAAATTAGATGAAATCGCCCTTCTATATGTGTAAGGTGGAATTTAGTAGCACCAATAAAAAATTCAAGTTCATCACTTGACTTTATTGAATAAGAAAATATAAAAGATAAAGGCAATAATGATAAAAAAGAAAAACGAAAGAGATGGAAAGGTAAAGATAATATCGAGCGTTTAAATATATATATCACTAATATCAGTGTAAAATAATAATTTTTCATTTTATCAATATTTCAA